GCCCGGGCTGAGGCACTGGGGCCCCGCGCCTGACCCCCTGCGGCCGGGGCGGCTCCTGCCAGCGCCCGCCGCCCGCCTGCTTTTCCCGCTCAAGCGGAGCCCCAGCCCCGCCACCTCCTGGGCTCTGCCCTCACGCTGGGGGCCCAGCCAGCAAAGGCTTCGTCTTCCCACGGTTTGTGCGTTTATTCGAGTTACAAGCTGCCCTGTCCCGGCACAGGCCCAGGGCGGCTGGTGCTAGGTGAACCCAGCAACTTATAACTGGGGGAAAAAAGGTCTTTTAAACCAGAGAAACCCCCCCCAAAACAACCCTACTGAACAATCCCTCCCACCTGGCGTGTTCAGCCTGGGCCTATCCTTTGTTAAATGTCTCCACACCACTGTAAGTGGTTGGATGCCAACGCAGGAATGGCACCCTGGCAGTGTTTGGTTTGTCCTCCACGACACCCTGACCCCTTCCCTATTCTACAGGTGTGAAACGTGGACAACATACTGGAAACACCTGAAAGCTTTGGAACATTACCATCAGCGATGTCTTTGGAAAATGTTCCATATCACTGGAAGGACAGAAGAAAACCTGTCGGGTGAATGCTGTCTCAATCAAACATGAAGCCATGTTTACATGGCACTGGTTCTATTGAAAAGAACAGGTCATAAGGATGCCTGATAACTGGCTCCCAAAACAGGTTTTTATACTCTCAACTCACTGATAGTCACCACTCTAGAGGTGGGGAAAAAGAAGAGATTCAGAGACACCTGACGACCAGTCTGAAGAAATTAGATGCTATCACCAGTATTTGGGACATACAAGCACAGAATCATCTCCAGTGATACTGTGATGTACAAGAAGGCATCAATCATTTCAAACAAACTCCCCTCAAGGTGGAGGCAGATAGATGAGAGAGACAGAGGGAAAGAGCTGTGACCCAGCATCATCAGGATCTACTCCTTCCTCCCAGAATTATTTGCCTTGCCTGCAGTTAAACGTACAGATCAAAGGAATGCTGACAATACACTGTCTTCTGGATAAAATGCAAAAGCAAACTCCTGGCTACCAGTGATCATTAAAGATCTTGCAGTATTTTTCTGTAGAGAGCAGGGACACTAACTATGGTCCTGGCCAAATTCTGATGCAAACAAATACATTCAACCTTTCTAAAATTTCTCCTGCAGGTAATTGAATGTAATATTCCACCATCCCATCTTCCCCACCCTGGTATTTTCGCCCCATGTTGTACTACCATGTACTGTTAAACAGTTGAGATAATCTCTTCCCGAGGTCCCTGAGATTCTCTGCATTTTCGTTACCTGCCTCATAGCATTATTGTAAGAATTAGCTCTTAGAGAATCTCAGACAAAAATAGTTCTGGAAGAGCAAGACATGACCTTATCATAAATAGATTGATGAAAACCTAAAGAGAAAAAATAAATCATTTGCAGAAAATTGTTGCCAGTACTTCAACATTTGGAGATTCCGGAGTGCAGCAAAGGTATTTTGCATTCAGTGTCCAATTTTCAACCTTGGCTGACTGAAGTTTAGTATCTAAATCCACCGAGGAACTGAAACCTATTTGTGTCAGTCCCTTAACAGTGAAGGCCTAATGAAGGAGAAGATCAAGTCAAATTTTAAAGTATGTTTTTAGCTCTGCTGTATTGGGATCAGCTTGAAACCAAACTACTAAAAACTGAATTAAACTGATTCTTGGACTAGAAAAGAACAAGCAGCTAAGCTCTGCTTATGTAGCTGAAGGTGACAGGGAACCTAAGATCTCCCTCTCCCCATGTAAAATAAGTCAGCTACATCAAAGATGAATCACAACTAATTATATCACTAACTTTCCCCAAAAATTTTACATCTGCCTTGTGAATCTGATGTGATCAGGGATGGAGACCCCTGAGCTTGGCAGTGAACCCCCTGCAAAAAGCACCACTGACACTGCCAGAGGTGCCTGCGGGCATTCACCACTTGTCCGTCCTGTCCCCTCCTTTTCATGTCTTCCTTAGAGAGTGTTGTCCACCCAGTATTCCTGCTAAGGTCTCACAAGAATGAGTAGCAGTTTCAGCTGCAATGCACTAGGTCTTCAATATCTCTTGGATTATATTTCTTTCTGCTGTTTTATTAGCATTATTTACTCTTCCTTTGCTTTTTCAAATATTTTGCTTGCTTTAGTATTCAGGTGTTTCCTTTCAGTGCTCTTCTTTCCTCAGTGAGGT